GATGATCACTAATCAGCCAACAAAATGTGTTCAAGAAACAATCTGGAGAATTGGATGCGGCTGTTGAAGCCAGCCTAGAAATATCTGCTTTAATAGCCAAGAATGGGAAACCTTTCACAGATGGCGATATGATAAAAAAGTGTCTTATCATCACAAGTGAGATGTGTCCTGAGAAGACAGTGTTTTCAATCAGTCTTAACCACATGACGATACAACAAAGAATGTCGCAAATTGCATCAGACATCGCATTAATCACTTGGAGGTCCGGCCCCCAGTCAATAAACTTAATCCTAATTTGGCCCTTCTTCAAAAAAAGGTTGTGCATCCCTGAATTATTAGTGGATCACAAGTGTTGGCTTGAGAATTATCACTTCACTCTTCTATTGCAGCAGGCTGTGAAATACATTTCCATTAACAACAAATGGCTAGAGGACTGGAACAAACAACTTAACAATAAACTACATACCATCAAACTAGAGTTAATTAATAAAATAGATAACCAGCCACAAGAAAAATTAAAAGAAGAAATAATATTTGCCCATCTGCATATATCTTCAAGCAGCCAAGCTCTGCAGAATATACTAGATGATAACAGACAAATTCAACTTATAATGGCATATCTGAAGGCAATAAATTTACATACAGAACTCTAGAACATGCATATTAAGACCAAAAAGACGTAACTCTTTGTCCTATCTAGGCTCTTATGCCACCAACTCCAACCAACATTTCCATCAAAGACTTGATGTGTCTATGGAAAATAAACAAAGTAATATCTGCTGTTCTGAAAATCCATACAAGCATTGCCAAATAGCATTATGATCAGTGTGTGTTGTTTGTTGCCAATTTGTCTTTCCAGTTGCTGGTTTATTTCACCAGTGGTAAAAATATTGCCATATTGCAAAATTTTTACAATGTAGCAGAAACCCTGCATATACCTTTGTAACAGGAATTTTAAAGCCAGTCAAATTAGATTGATGCATTATGTTGAAAGGATGCACCCAGACACTCTAAAATTTGTCTACACCCTTAATTAAACAATGGAAGGAGTCTGATCTCAGTCAGTCACAAAAAAAGATTTTGAACAAAAGATTAAAATTATAAAGAATATTTAACTGGAGAATCATTGTGATAGAAAGATTGAGTTTGCAGCATAGAACCTCAAAGACTCACAGTACTACTAGCATGATGATGATGATGATAGGATTTTTTTCTTGTAAATCATCAAGAAATTGTCATGATAGGTTGACTTCTTGATGTGTTTTTCATATGGTAAATAACACTTTGTAAGTACAGATAACAAGCTGACTAACTGCTGTATGTGACAAACCTCGAGTGTTTTATGTCTCAGTTTCAGGACTTCTAGGAAATTCTGCATTCTTTCTGTTTTACCAAAGAATGCACTATGCCAAAATGTGACATAACTCTGAAATCTTCTCATCAGTTACTAAGCATCATCTTCCTCCATTTGCCAAAGAAGAAAGTTCCACTGACTTTATACTTGCCATGCTTAGAAGCTGAATTGGCAATACAACACATGATTACGTGACCGTTAGGTTGGTATCTCTTTGATACCACGTCAGGATGACACCACTGTATCCTTAGGTTGATACAGAGACCACAAGTTCGTGCGAGTGGTTATGTATCAGTTTTGGACCTGGAATGGAGTGAACGGAGAGAAGAACAGAAGAAACTGCACTCAATAACCATTTAAAATAAATAACCATTTATTTATTTTAAATCTAAAGTAGTTATACATCCGAATTTAAGGTTACAAAGTTAGTATATGGCTAAATATAAGTTACATGAATCGCGTTCGGCATTGATCTTTTCCTCATTCCGGTTTCTAGTTACAATCAAGTTTGCAATTAGTTTACGCGGGGAGAGAGAGTGTACAATAGTGCACAGGCAGGATAAATACCTTAACTTATACTGGTTTTCCGAAGTAGTTCTCTTGAAGTTCATTGATGTTCTAAAGTTCAGTTGTACAGATTTTGTTGATGTTCTAAAGTCGGTGAGGAAATAATCATACAGATACAGTTCTCGAAGTTGATCTTGGTGGGAGATGGACATGTCAACACACACAATCAATTCATAACTTTCCCCGGTCTTACTCATCGTGCCTGTCCTTTTTATATGAAGTCCTTTTTTCAGGCCTTTCCCCGATTTCGTCATCCCTCACAATCTCCTTGGACCAATGAGGTGACGGGTGACGCAATCGTGACAGAGAGATGTACTCATCTCAACAAGGAAGCTAACTTGTGGGAATTGAGGTTTAACCAGATTTTATCGATTTTATTTTTCCCTTTTCTCTTTTAATTTTTTAATAACTCGTTCCATCTTTATAAAGTTGCATTTAAAGTTTAATTAAAATTTATAAAAGATTAAAGTCTATAACACGAAATCTCTGACCTCACAATTATGTCAGTATTGAATCTGAAAAATAAACTTTTCTTCTTTTAATTGAAGATTACAAAGCAACACTTGACTTGATGCAATGAAATTTTATAACTTAAAATGCATTTCAAGTATCAAAGTACTCTTCAATCAGTACAGTATGATTGTAGAATTCTACCTGACTGAGAAGGAATATTTAGTTGAGTTCAGATGCAAAAAGTAATGTTTTAATAAGAATATTTTTTCTAAATTATAATAGAGATCAAAAGGTAGTGTCATTTATATTATTAAATTAGAATTTACTAAAAAGCAACAGACTTCATATTTGCTTACAAAAGGTGTGATTCAGTGCAAATAGTAACATGCCCATTCCTTAATTTTTATTTAAATCTACACAATGTGTTAATTTTTTCTTAATGGACATAATTATGTTTTGCATTTGAGCCCTTCATTTGGAAACTATTAGAAGAAATAAACAATTACATTAAAAATTCAGAAGGAAATTGAAATTTAAAATATAAAAAATTGAATTTTGGTGGCACTTTCAAAATTCTATAGAAAATATGATGCTGGTATATGGTAGTTCTTAAAATTGTTGTTCTTTATTCTTTAGGGAGCCCTGAATAATAATCATTTTTTGTTCTGTTGATTTTTACTTAACTAATTTTGTTATACATAACAGGGAAAGTAGGACAATTGGTCAAAAAAATAACCCTTTAGGACGTTTACATTTTTGGACTCAGCACCTTGAAAAGCCAAAAAATTTGTCAGTTTTCACCCTGTATGTATATATGGATGATAATGTGAATAGGGGGACATAATTTTGTTTACCCACTTTGAAGCTTAACTCCTGTGCCTTTTGTCAAAAATTTCTGAAATTTTACAAGGATGTTTGTGTATTAGGAGATTGATAGTGATATATTTTGATGGTTACAGGTCGGGTGGGGAGATGGATGGGATCGTGTGTCACATCTCAATGGGATAGTACTTAATAAAGATTTTATTCATTATAAAAAATTGTGAATGCTAATAAAACCCATCCCTACTCTCAAAATTAAGCTTTTTCCCCATTTTATAATTATATAAAAAGTTTTTAAAATAAAACATCATAACAGATGGTACCATATGCAGTTTTAAATGATGTTGACCGGAAAGTTAAGCAACTTATTGCTGGATTTTTTAAAATTATATACTTTAGTTTAACTCCAAATTCCTGTCATGTCAGAGTTTTTAATAATTCTTTTCTTTTAATGAGACTTTAATTTTATCTGTATTATGCAAAATTTAATTCTGTGAAGCATTGGCAATAGAAATAGGCATTCTTTCTCTTATTTCTCTATTGAAAAATAGGAGAACAAAATTTATTTAGAATTTTTTAAATTTGAATTAATAATTTATTGTTATTATTTATGTGTATTGTTTGTTTAATATGTTATAATAACTATATGAATAAACTAAGTATATGCCAAAAAATTTAAATAATTGTATTCATTATGATTGATTATAAAAGTTGTTGTTTATAAGAATAATAACTTCATTTTACAGATACCTTGACTTCACACAAACTCATGATGGCACCGGTAAGTCAATTTTTTAATTTATTAAAAGTTTATTATGTATAGTATTTTTATAGAAAAAGTTTGACTTTTAGATATGTCAAATTTATCAAAACAAAGTAATTTGTTAAATAATACATAGGGTAAAGGGTACAATAATTGGCAATTTGAAAATTTTAGCCTCTTTTATATAATAACAGTGCTATTAAATCTATTCTGGAAATATTGCATTGCAATATTAATAAAAGTTTTTATTGTCAGTAGGTAGCAAAAACTCCTATGGGTTTTTTGTTGTATGACCAATAACTGTACAATTTTACAGTTTTGTAAAACACGTTTTGGAGTAAAGTGTTTGTAATTTCTAGATGTTTGAAGTAGAAAGGCTATTTTTAAAAATTTATTAATAAGTATAATATTTTCTAATTTAATCTTTGCTGTAAAGAAATTTTTATTTTACAAGTTCTAATTGTTCAATAGCTGTACTATTTATGCTACTTCTATTTTTGAGTCTCTCTTAATTAAAGTTATCCATGTGCCCTGTGTCCTATCTGTGTGTGTAAATGTCCTGGTTTTGGTTATAGGACTTCAAAATCAAATAAAATGAAAGTGTGTAATCTGTATATTCATTTGAATTTAATGTTAATAAAAGTTTTGAAAGCATAAGAAAAATGTATTGGTTAAAACCATTTGCCTACACTGTATGCAACAAAATGTCATATATGACATTTCAGTTTATCTGGAAATCATTAAATATATACACACATAATAATTACTGTAAATCTCATCTTTAGTTCTTTTCTTTGTTTTGTGTGCCATTTCACATTTTAATTGATATTAGATACTACTAGATAAACTTGTAATATATTGAAAGCTGATAGCTTTCTTGTAATTCTGCTCTTTCTGTTTAGTGATTTTCTGAGAACTATTTACAATAAGGTCTTGTTTTATATGGGGGTTATATATCAGCAGGTACTGTATAAAATGAATGTGTGCTCTATAACAGTTTAGTTCCTGATGATTGCCTAGATCAGTAGTCCTAACCTTTTCAGTTGCATATTTCTTGGCTACCCATTTCCATAAATTGTATTCTTTTATATCAGCAAAATGTTTAGTTAATATATAGTTTAGTTTAGTTGGTTATTTCAAATTTATATATTTTAACTATATAATATATATACAATGATCTCCCATGTAACACACGCCCCTATGACATGATAAGTTTAAACTTGCATAAAATCTGATAATGCATGTCTCATATAACATGATTTTCTGTAACATGGAATGTATCCTTGTATTGTACAGGAGTCCAATGTAACTACAGTAGAGCATTGTTTATCTGAAACGTCGGTTATCTGAAAGAATTCCAGTCGGCAAATTTAAATTTTCGCTAGTGCTGTGGCACTGCAATCTTTGGCTATGTCTTGGGCTACTCCAATATTTTTTATGTTTGTGTGTGTGTGTGTGTGTTTTAGCTGGCAGCACTGGCACTTTTGTGTGGTGTTTTTCTGAGGACTGTGTTGTGCTGAATCGAACGTTTTTGATACTAGATCAACTTCTAAAGTATTTTTTTATATATTTTCAATATATTTATTTTGTTTGTAAAAAATAAANTTTGTTTTTATATTTTTCAATATATTTATTTTGTTTGTAAAAAATAAAGAAATAATTTTTAACGATACAATAGCCACGATTATTGTTTTAAAAAGTTTACGTTAGGCTTAACATGGACGAAAATTCAACGCAAAGCGACACGCAACGGAGAAAAATTTCAACACTGGATAGGTTAATATATTTTTTCGTACATAATCGGTTATCCAAAAAATAAGTTATCTGAACAACCCCAGTCCACAATTGATTTGGATAAACAACGCTCTACTGTAATTAGTATCAAGTTGATTAGTTGATTAACATTATTGCTAATTATAGAAATTGAAGTTAATGATTAATATTAAAATTTTCCAAGAAGTCAGAATAACTTTATCTCTGAATTATTGTAATATGATTAGAATTTTTGATGTTAGCATGAGACACTAGTTAGTTCTAAAATTTGCTTGTTCAGTTCTGTGAGTTCATCCATCACAAGTTCTCAGAAACAACAAGAACTTGAATCAAATAGTTTTCAATTCTTGCATTCAAATACTCTGTATCTTTAGTAGTTATGTTAAAAATGTATATCGCAAATATGGATACAGATATGGATCATTAGTGTCTAGATCCGCGGATACAGATCTCAAGTTTCGTACTCAGTCGGCGCCGGTGCATGTTACCTTGGATAGATAGTTGACGCTTTGCATTAGTAATGCGACATGGTTTGACTTGCAATGCGCGTGTTTTTGTTTATAGTTTAGTGCAGGAGTGGCCAGCAGTTTTTGCCCCCGGGCCGAATTGAAAAGAAAACTTTTTCCACAGGCCGAACCTAGGAAGATTTTGAGGTGGTGCGAGATCTCATTGCAGTGTCACCCCATAGAGACTAAATTGTACACAGAGATTAGAGATACATTTTTCACATTATCATGCTTTTTCAACATTCTACACTGTACTTTAGAGATTTGTAATGGAGGGTTAACTCTAAATGCACAGTGATTTTCTTTTTTAGGCGTCAGAATTTTTCATTGAGCTATTCGGACATCAGTAGCTAATATTGAAAGAATGATTGTGGGCTACATAAATTCATCAGACGGATCGGATCTGGCCCGCGGGTCATATGTTGGCCATGCCTGGTTTAGTGTGACATGGGATAGCGTAGATTACGTTTGTATTTTTGGAGAGTGTTGAGTTAAATTAAAATAAAAACAATATCCACAAAAAAGTTTAGTAGTCTAATAGAGAAATATTTTACGATAGTAAATGAATTTTGCATGATAAAATTTTTGCAATATGAATGTGTCAAATATGTGATTTTAAGAAGTAATGAAATTCATTAAGATAAAAGATTCGTTAAAGATCCGCTAAAAAGTAACGGTTACGGATTTTTTTTTCCCTCGGATATCCGTGGATGTGGATACAGATGTCCAGCACATCACTAATCTTTAGATAGAATTACTTTGAATTAATTTGGATTAAACCTGGTAAAAAAAACTTTTACATAAAAAGTGATTTTACTATAAAAAATGAATGTAATTATATGACATTTATCTGGTATAGTTTAAAGATTTTTTAAAAAATTCTAAAACTTGTTCAGAACAAAAAAAACTTGTTACAATTTCTGTTTACATAAGTTTTACTGTGTTATAATAATTTTGTTTTATATTAAAATGATGTTTAATACTAGTAATTCTGTTTCTAAGCTAATAACACTCAATTATAAATTTTATTTTAAATAGCGAAGTTACACTAATAACAATGGACAACAAATTTTAACTTTTATGATTTTTCTTGATCTTTTGTATTTAATTTTATTAGTTATTTCTCATGATTAAACTAGGAACAAAATATTTTTAACACATCAAGATAAGATAATAAAAGCCAACTCATTTATTATTAATCTTATTAGTAATAAAAAGGATACAAGTGTTTATTAAAGTTTAAAAAGTATTTTTGTCACTTCATTTAAGATACACTTTCGGTTTATTATTAAATTAATGTCCAGTAATAGTCAGCCAACGTTTTGCGTTTACATAAGTGCATATTTATAGTATATTAATTATTGAGAACTTTCAAGAATGCGACATGATAACCAAATTTATAAATTAGTTTAACAATCAACGTAAAAATTGTGTACAGTACACCTAATAAAGCATAAGAAAAGGATACATTGACTAGTATAATTTGAAATGATGATGAAACATTTAATATGTATCAAAAGAAAATAACAAATATAAATTATATCTGATTTTTGTAAAAATTTATTTTCAGAAAACAAAACTATTTGTTGGCCATCTTCCAGATGGTTGTTCATCTACTGATCTACAAACACTTTTTGAAAAATATGGAACAGTTAAAGAATGTGATGTTATCAACAAATATGGTTTTGTGGTAAGTAATTCGTTGTAAAATAATAATGGAAAACATTACAGTTTTTTTTATTTGTTGAAGTTTTTTTTTAATCTATTGATTTCTATTGTCTATAATTATGTTTAATTTTATTTCCAATAATATTTCATTAATATTTATTATTAAAAATTAATTCCTTGAAAATAAAATTAAGGATTTTTGGATTCAATTTCTAGTATCTATTTCTCAAAGATTATCTTTATATCTACTTGTTGTTGTTATATAAGATGAAAGTCTTAAAAGTAATTTGATTTTAATTATACAGGCATAGCTTGCTTTAAAGCACTTTGCTAATACAGTGCTTCTATTTTTTTGGCACTTGCTCTTTAGGGATTTGAGTTGTGTATTTTGTTTTTAGGCTTAGTGCCCTTTCTCACTTAATAAATTATAGTTACTAATTATGCTGAGGTTTATCGTTATCCTTCTTGTATGAACACAATCATTTTGAATCTATAATTGAATAGTTATATAGAAAAATTTTAAATATCGTTTATCAAAAAATTTTTAACTTTTTTTTATTACAAAAAGTTAATTTTTACAATATTTTAAAAAGATATTTGTAAAGATTTTAAAAAATGTGTAGCAAATATCTTTGCTGTAATAAAGCAGCAGTAACAGACTAAGGCTTGATTTAACTATTATTGAGTTAAAACAATGATGAAAAAAGTTTATTTTTAACAAAGTATCTATCATAAGAATGCTATTATTAGTTAAAAATGTCCAAAATTTTAAACAGCACAAGACAAAGTTTTGCAAAATTAAAAATATATAACATTCTGTCTACAAACTTGATGTTAATGGGAAAAAATATATTAATAGTTACATTTTTTTTTAACATTAGCTTTGCATTGTAAAGACTTATTACTTTTTCATATTAAATTTACAAGTATAAATAAATAAAATTTCAATTATTGTTCTGAATATTAAAATATATAGAAGTGACATGAATGAAATTTTACTGCTCAATTTTTAAAAACTGAAATTTAGTTTCTTAAAATTAGAAAAATTATACTATAATTTTATTTATGTAATATAAATATGTCAGTTTTTAAATTAGTCAGTTTTTAATTAGAAAATTTTGTTGTTATTAACAGTGGGATTTTCTAATTAAATTCTGCACTTTAGGTCTTAGATATAAACTGCAATTCCTTTTAGAATGTACAATGACTGGTCACAAACTACATAAAAAATGAAATAAAATGAACAAAAACTTCAAATATTGCATGTTGGGTATTTTTTACATTGGATTTATATGAACATATATAACTTGTGAATATCTATTTGACATCTGTTGTGACAGATTTGAACTTTGTGAATTATGACAAGAGCAAATAACAACTGTGCAAGTTGTTATGGATTTTATTTGAATATTATCATATATAAAATTCACCTGTCTGTAACTAGTTGTTTGGTTGTCTGTAGCCATACAGATTTTTGACAATGAAATTTAAATATATGTTCTGATTGATTATGAAGATAAATTTTAACACTTGTGATTATTTATTTATAAACAATTTAATAAAATAATATATTGATTTTTATCATAAATATTTGAGTAGTTGATCTTAAATGCCATCATTATTTTAATGAAAAACATTTTTATTTTAAGTAACAAATATGGAAATGAAAAAACTGAAGTAGTAGTAATAAGTTTTTTGTGTTAGGAAAAAAAATATAACAATTAAAATAATTGCTTGTCAGATATTAAAATCTCATAAGAAAAAATAAAAATCTGCAACTTCTAATTTACATTAGATCTTTTCTTTGATCTTAGATACTTCCTAAAATCAGAAAATGGAACATAAGTTATTCATGGCAACAGAATAACATTATTTGCAATCATTCAATATTTGTTAATGTTAAACACTTTTAGAATTGATTTGTGTTAAAAATAAATACAGTGAAGAAGGTTTGAAGAGTTTAAAAGCTTATAATCTAGGGTGGGGTTGCTGTTTCTGAAGATGTACAGTACTGTACGGGATGACCCTAACTGAAGTTCATCTGTTCCAACCTCTAGAAAGATCTCTATTAGCCCACCAATTTAAAACTTGATATGTACACATTAATAATACTTTAATACTTAATTCAATACAATAATATAATAAGATGATGGAAAATACATTTATAAAATAAAAAATAGTTCTAAGACATATTGATATAGATTGCTAGTAGTCATAAAAGGTGACTATTTTGTATGCATTAAGAAACGAACTATTCATTGTGCATCCTTGTATATTGTCTGCACATGTTGAAAGTGCAAAGAGACATTGAAAACTGTTAATCAAAGGAAATGTGTGTTGTGCTGGTTTTTAGAGCAGTTAAATTATGAATATTACTTTGGTAAACATGAATTTTAAGAAATCCTAAAATCAGGTGTCACAATGGATAAGATTTGAGATCTGGTGACTAGGATAACCTTGTTAAAGAGAAATAATGTCCAACAATCTTATAATTTGTTAAATGGGTTTGAAGAAGTTTAATACAGATGTATCAAATTTTAGAGATGTTCCATTATGCATAGAAAAAATGGCTGGATTATCTGTCACAGCTAATGTTAAATGACAAACCTGTCTTTTATAGAGGATTTGGATCACTTTTTCTTCCTCAAATATTTGCATCATCTTGTTAATGTATCTTAGTTGTTTTTTTCTACAGAGATCAGAGTGGGTAAACTTTAATTATGGCCATTTAATGTTTTATTGAAGGTATAGAAACTTTAACTCAGAAAAGAGTAAAATTTTTAACAATATAAACAAGCAGTAATGTATTAGTTGCAAAACATTTTAAAAGAACTGGTCAAAGAAATATCTATAAAATTAATTTGAAAAGCATAGTCATAAAGTATACCAAATAATGCAAGGAAGACTATTTAATTATCACACTGTAAATTGATTCTGGAAAAAATTTTCTGTAGTGAAGAAAGCAATTTGAGAATTTAAAAAAACTATCTATCATTTTTTTCAGATCATCATGAATGTTTTCTCATTAAAGCTTATCAAATGTATACATAATTCTTAAAATAAATGTTATCTGGCATTTACTCAAAGAGAAATTTAAATTTTGATACCTTATTTTATAATGGTGCAGTAGTTCTCAACCAGTATACCATGAACTTTTTTTGTTGAAACACTAGAAAGTTTTTTAAAAAAAAAAACTAATGTGCTAACTGTCTGTTTTAATATTGTGTGTTTTTATATAGGATGTTCAAAAAGTAATTACACACATACTGCCACTTATATATATACATATACAGAGTATTTATAATTAAAGTTCCACTTTAAAATGGCCATAAAATGAAAACTACTGAACAGAATGTTATCAAACTTGGTAATAGTGTACAGGATGTCATGGGATTTTATTTCCTGAGAGAAACAAAAATTTAAAAACTTACCACCAACAGGAAATGGCGCTGTCTGCAATATTGTTAAATGAAATAAGACATGAAGACATCGTTGAAAATGTTTTTAATCAGTTTTAAAACGAAACTGTTTGTGGGGTTACTCCTGATATGCTAAGATCTACTGTTGAAAATACAGTAATGCAATGTAACTTTCTTATCAAAAATGGTGGGACACCACATTGAACATGCTCTGTAATGTGTTTTAAAACTGATTAAAAACATTTTCATTGATGTCATCATGTCTTATTTCATTTAACAATATTGCAGACAGTGCCATTCCCTGTTGGTGGTGAGTTTTTGACCTTTTTTTTTCACGGGAAATAAAATCCCATGACGTTTTGTACACTATTACCAAGTTTGATAACATTCTGTCCAATAGTTTTCATTTTATGGCCATGTCAAAGTGAAACTTTAATTATAAACACCCTGTATATAAACATAACAGTTAACAGTGCTAATATTTTAGGGATATATTACAGATCAAAAATAAGCTTAAAATCCTCTATAAATATTATTCAAATTCTGCTTTGTTTTCAAGATATGGCCTGCTAAGAGTTACTTTTTCAAATTCTTTGTCAAAGTACTGGCACTAATTGTCAATTCTTTTAAGTAATTTTTTGTTTGTTGTTCTGTTAATGGAGGTAGGTAAATGCTGTACAAGTAGGTCTTGCTGAGGGTGTATATGCAAATATTATTCAACTTTAAAATTAATTAATGTCTTTAAGAACCCTTTTCTGAATTGTTTTGGTTTGTTCAATGTGAGCTGCTTCCTGTTTGGCAACAAGCCTACATTGCCATTTCCATGGGTCAAACACTTGTTTAAATTTTTTGAGGTGTTACATTTGATCATTTATCTTTAAGTACTTTACAAAGCTCACTCAGTTATAGCATGTTGGTGGAAAAGTTGTTTAAGGAATCCAAAATTGAAGAAGTCTAAAAGGCTGATGTTGGGTAATTTTTTAGGAATATCCTGTTTTTTATATAACTGAGGTCTGTAGAAGCTTTAAGATGTTAAAGACATTCCTCAGTGTGAGAAGAGGCTTTGTCATGATGGACCACAATTTTGTCCATCTCTCCTGGGTACATTTCAGGAACTTTTCTTTCTAAATGCAGCTTCAGTACATTGCTGATATATAATAGTCAGCATTCACCTTAACTTTATTTGGAACTTTATAAGAGGAAGTGTTTCTCTTCCAGTCATTCCACTGACAATCATGAAACCTTCCAGCCAGCTTTCTCAGCACTTCATCAACTAAATTTCAGGAACATTTTGACCAGGAAAAGAGTAACAGATTTTCTGAACTCCATTACAATAGCTTAAGTAAAAGTATTCAACATCCAATGTCGTCATAAATTCTGGTCTACTTGCTGCCACTTGTCACTCATACAGTTTGCGAACATTTATCTTGTGATTTTGTTTGTGTTCTATGGAAAGGCAATACTTTATTCTCTGTACTTTTTATGCTTTCAAATCCTTATGAATTATGTTTTGTACACTTTTCTGTCAAGTTCCAATTTGCTTGGCAATGTTTCTGATACTTGGAGGGTTTTCGTGTAGACAGTATTATTCTGCTCAGTATTA